GTTTTTTATATCTTGGAATGGTTTGAGAGAGTAGGTATTAATCTTCTTTAGATGTCTGATAGAATTTACCTGTGAAGCCATCTGGCCCTGGACTTTTGTTTGTCCTGAGATTTTTGAATACTGATTCCATTTCTTTGCTGCTAATCATGTCAAGTTTTCTATTTCTTCCTGTTTCAGTTGTAGTTTATATGTTTCTAAAAGTTTATACATTTCTTCCAGGTTGTCCAATTTGTTGGCATATAATTTTTCATAATATTCTTTTATAAATTTGTTTCTCTATGGTCTTGGCTGTTATTTCTACTCTCTCATTTGTGATTCTATTTATTTGAGTCTTTTCTTCTTGATAAGTCTGGCTAGGGGGTTATCAATTTTTTTAATTATTTCAAGGAACCAGCTCCTGATTTCATCATCTGTTCTATTTTTTAGGTTTCTGTATCATTTATGTCTGTTCTAATCATTACTGTTTTCTTCCTTCTGCTGGCTTTAGGCTTAATTTGTTATTTTTTCTTTAGCTCCTTTAAGTATAAGGATAAGATTTGAGATTATTACTTGAGATTTTTCTTACTTCCAGAGGTAGGCCTGCATTGCCATATACTTCCCTCTTAGGACCACTGGTGCTACATCTAAAATTTTTTGGACTGTTGTGTTTTCATTTTCATTGTTTCCATGTATTATTTAATTTGTTCTTTGATTTCCTGGTTGACCCATTCATTCTTTAGTAAGATGTTCTTTAGCCTTCATGTATTTGTAGTCTTTCCAAATTTTTTATTATGGTTGACTTCAAGTTTCATAGCATAGTGATCAGAAAATATGCATGGTATGATGTCATTCTTTTAATATTTGTTAAGCCTGATTTGTGACTTAGTATGTGATCTATTCCAGAGAATGTCCCATGTGGACTCAAAAAGAATGTGTATTCTGCTGCTTTGGGATGAAATATTCTGAATATATCTGTTAAGTCCAGCTAGCCCATTGTGTCATTCAAAGCCATTGTTTCTCTGTTGATTTTCTGCTTAGATGATCTGCCCATCAGTATAAGTGGAGTGTTAAATTCCCCTACTATTATTGTATTATTATCAATGGATTCATCTATGTTTGCTATTTTTATTGATTGAGTGCTTTCACGTTGGGAGCATGAGATTTACTATTTACTATTATTAGACCTTGTTGGATAGTTCCCTTCATTATGATATAATGCCCTTGTTCATCCCTTGTTACAGTCTTTGATTTAAAATGTAGTTTGTCTGATATTGCTACTCCAGCTTTCTTTTGACTTCCATTTGCATGACAAATGGTTTTCTAGCCATTCACTTTCAGTCTGCAGGTGTCCTTAGGTCCAAAATGAGTCTCTTGCAGACAGCATATAGATGGATCTTGTTTTTTATCCAGTCTGATACCCTATGTTTTGTGATTATAGCATTTAGTCCATTCACATTCAGAGTAATTATTGAAAAATATGTATTTAGTGCCTTTTTATTACTTGTTTTGTCATTAGTTCTGGAAATTTTCTCTGTTCCTTTCCAGTCTTTGTCCATTTTGTCTTTCCTTCCCACTCAAAGAGTCCCCTTTGATATTTCTTGCAGGGCTGGATGAAGGGTCACAAGTCCTTTAGTTTTTTGTTTGTCTGGGAAACTCTTTATTCTGAATTATAGCCTTGATGGATGGAGTATTCTTGGCTACAGATTTTTCTCATTCAGCTCATTAAATATATCATGACACTCCCTTCTAGTTTGCCATGTTTCTGAGGAGAGATCTGCAGCTAGAGTTATGTGTCTTCCATTGTAAGTTAGGGACTTCTTTTTCCTTGCTGCTTTTAGGATGTCTTCTTTATCACTATATTTTGCAAATTTAACTACAATATGTCTTGGTGTTAGCCTGCTTTTGTTGATTTTGATGGGAGTTCTCTGTACCTCCTGGATTTGGATTCCAGATTAGGGAAGTTTCCTTCCCCAGATTAGGAAAGTTTTCAGCTTTTATTTCCTCACATAAGCCTTCTCCTTCTTGTTCAGCTTCATTCTTTTCCATTATTTTATATTCTGTATCACTTACTCATTCCTCTACTTTGTCCATCCTTGTAGTCATTACATCCAATCTGTTTTGAATTTCAGTTATTCCATTTTTTATTTCTGATTTTTTAAAATTCTTTTCTCTCTGTGGAAAGGGCTTCCCTGATATCATCCATTCTTTTCTCAAGCCCAGCGAGTATGCTTATAATTGATGCTTTAAATTCTCCATCAAGCATATTATAGATAGATAGATAGATAGATAGATAGATAGATAAAGAGAGAGATAATTTCTCTTAGATCTCTGGCTGTGACCTTTCTTGTTCTATCTTTTGGGATGAATTCCTCTGTCTTGTTATTTTGTCTAAGTCTCTTCTTCTGTGTGTTAGAGAAACCTGTTATGCTTCCTGCTCCTGAGAGTAATGGCTTTATGAAGAAAAGGTCATATAGTGCCGAAGAGCTGGCACTTCAGGGAATGTCTCTGGTGTGTTCTGTGTGCACTGTGCTGCTGTGTTTTGGTTGCTCTATCCTTCTTCAGGCCAATCCTCTGCAAAAGGTTTCCTAGCCTATAGTGGGGAGTGTTTGGACCCTGACCAGACTGGTGAGTTTTAACTAAGTGTGCTCTAGTCAGCTTGGTAAATGAGACTTGAGGCTACTTCCACTAGAATTGAAGCCTTGTAAAACTGTGTTTGGGAGATGTGGTGCATGCAGGTGTTTCTGCTGGTGTTCTGGGGAAGGGGACTGCTGCACTGGTTCTCAGGCACCCTTGCCTGAGAAAAGCAGTAGCAGCAGAGCACAGGAGGGTGGGACTTGCAGGTTAGGCAGCCAGTATTGGAGCTGTGCTGTTTATTGAAGCTGGTAAGAGACAGAAGAGGGAAATGGCACCAGCCAGCTCCTCTGTCCTCAGAGAGGGGTCTCCATGCTGCTGCTCTCAGGGAAGTACTCTCGGAAGAGTGAATAATTTCCCCTCCTATGTCCCAGCCATTTTTCAGGTTGCTGTCTTCACACTGTCTCTGGGTTGCTTGCTTGTCTGGAGCCACACAGTGCAGCTCTATCCCAGCCAAGCTGCTGACTGTTAAAACTCCAAACTTTAGGGGTGTGCTATGGTGGGAGACTGTGCTGGTCTTCTGGGGGAAGGTCTGGCTATGTTGGGATGGATGCAGATTTACCGTGAAAGGCAGTCACACGAGAGCACAGGGACATGAGATTTGAAGCAAGCAGCCTAAACGGCCAGTGTCCATTCAGGTTAGCCCCCCCTCAGCAGGTGTCTCTGCGTTTATGCTGAGGAACAGGTGAGGAAATGGCACCACTCCAGGGACACCAACTCTTGTGTCCCTGGAGAGGCATCTCTGTGAATGCCACCTCTCACAGATGTGTTCCAAGAAGAGGGAACAGTCTCTCCTCTGTGCACCTTTAGGTGATCCTCATATCCAGTTATTTGGAGAGAAATACCTTGTGGTATTTTTGGTGCATTTCAATTTGGGAAACTTGTGCTTTTATTTTTTTGTTTATTTTCCAAGTTTCACTCTGTATTTTTGAGAGAATAAAATACCATTTTGTGGGAGGCTAAAATACCATGCTGACACTTTTTACCATTTGATTTCCATCCTCTCCCTTATTCTTACAACATATTCTTCCCTAGGTAAAACTCCATTCCATTTTGGTTCTTGTTCTAATATTTTCTTCTTTCCTTTCTCACTACATATCACTGGTTTTCCTCAATTACTCAGCCTGTAAATACGAAAGGACACAAAGCTAAATCTTAAGGCACCTCTCTCATCACTCTTTCAAATTCTTTCAAAATATTCTGTTCATGGTTTTAACTTCCATCAATAAATTGATGGCTCACACATTCCAAATTCCTTGTCCTCTGAGATCAGAACCTGTATAACTGTGTATTTAACTCTGATAACTCAGAATCCCCAAATTAACATAAACTGCCCTTAAGACTTCTCTTTTCCTAAATAATTGCCTTTTTCAATATCTGTTAATAATTGTGATATTTAAAAGCCTACAAATAATTCTTCATATCTTTTTCCCTCTCAATCTTAATATATTGTATTAATGAGAATCATCTCCAAAATATTACTATATAGTTGTTCCCTCTGATATATTTTATATTCATTTTAAGGTAATTTTACTATCCATACTGCATAAATCAATTTAAAATGTGTTTTGTTAACATTTATGATAAAACTCCAACTCTTCATTATGATTACATAATCAGGCTCTTTCATACATTCCTGAATCACCGCCTGACTTATTTCCCTGACTTGTTATGCTTTAGTCTCATTGCATTTTACTTTCTTTCCCCAAGGGCTAAAACATTCTTCCTTATAGTCCCAGCCATTTTCTTTTTCATTTTTATCCTTCCCCCCAATTTCCTTATTCTAGTCTTTTGAGCTTTTCAATCTACTTGCTATTCGAATATCACTTCATTTGCTGGCCCTGAAAAGTTTTCAACAAGCTCTTTACATACATGACCAGATTAATTTCCCTCATAACTGTTTCCTCAGGAAAACTTTCCTTTATCAGAAAGTTTCTTCTTCAAATGTATTCCCTATTTATTTCCTTCTTGGCATAAGCTTAGTTTATTCTTTGTTTATTCTTGTGCCTAATTTTTAATTTTTAGACACTGATAGACTAAGATATTTAAGACATATCTATCTTGTTAACCATTTGTAAGACTAATACAATCCCTGCAACACAGTGATTACTGTGATGATTATTACATAATATTGTTAGTTGAATGAATTTCACCTCAAGAGTGTGGTAAACCCCCAGAAAGTAATCATCAACATTCACTTTCTGTGTAACATTGAATGTAGAAATATTAAACACATTTTCTACAATATGAAATACTCCACTTTAAATAAGTTTAAACAAGCACCTTATGTATTTAATAAAAATATTCTTATTGCAAGAGATTATACATCAGTGACTACTACAAACAATTCCCAAAAGAAGATACAAATTTGATAAAAAATAAAATCTTACATTGCTTCAGGATTCATTATGCATGTAGTTCCTGGGCAGTAACAATTGTAGATCTCATCGTATGTTAATCCCAGATTAATTCCAAGCAACTGTGCCATAACAACTGAAAATGCATCTAAAGTTATCATCTGCGGATACTAAATGCAAAACAAAACAAAACAAAACAGAATTGTTTTTTCTGTTTCTTGACAGGAGGCATTTTTTTTACCCCCTTGATCTTTTCTTTTTGGCCATATAACCTAAATTCAAATACAAATTTAAGAAACTACTGTGCCAAATATCACTATTTTCTTAGGACTATGGAAAATTAGAAAAAAAAATAGGCAAATTTTGTTTTTCTTTTTGGGTTGTAGTATGTTGAATCCAAATAGCACTGATATATGACAAAATAAGATTAATGCTACCATATGGTTTTATTACATATTATATTTCAATAAGCTTTAACAAAATTTTAGAAGAGAATGCATTGTTTCAGTAACTATATTACCTTTCAATGAACACTTAGAAAAATAAACAGATTCTTAAGGGTTGAATTTTCAATCAGTTTTGACTTCAGAAATATTTTTGGGAGAGAGCCAAATTAATTTTTTTTAAAGACAGAATACAATGACAACTTGCAGGTAGCATTTTTGTCTTCAAAAAAACACGTGGAAAGTAATGATGTCACCAAGACACAAACCCCCAGCAACCGGTAATCTTTTTACCATCTCCAATTTTTCCTTTTTCAGAATACACAGGATGTAGCCTTTTCAGATTGGCTTCTCTCACTAGCCACTACGCATTTTTCTCCATGTCTTCATGGCTTGATGGCTCATTTTTAAAAATTGGACAGTATTCCTTTATATCAATTTACTCCAGTTTGTTTATCCATTCATGTATTAAAGGATATCGTGGTTGCTTCCAATTTTTAGCAATTATGAATAAAGCTACTATAAACATTCATATACAGGTTTTCATGTGAACATAAGTATTCAAGTCATTTGGGAAATGCCAAAGAGGACAACTGCTGGATTATATGGTAAAAAAAAAAAAAAAAAAAAAAAAAAAAAAAAAAAAAAAAAAAAAAATAGACTAAGCACTTGAATAGACATTTCTCCAGAGATAATATGCAAAAAGCATATGAAAATATGCTCATATCACTAGTAATCATAGAAGTGCAAATCAAAACCACAATGAAATATCACTTCATACCAGTTAGGATAGCTGCTATTAAAAAACAAGAACAAAAACAGAAGATAATGTGTTGATAAAGATGTGATTAATATAAAATGTGAACTTTTGGTAGAATTATAAACTGTTTCAATCATCCTAGAAATAAGTATGATGGTTCCTCACAATATTAAAAGTAGACCTAGGGGCGCCTGGGTGGCGCAGTCGGTTAAGCGTCCGACTTCAGCCAGGTCACGATCTCGCGGTCCGGGAGTTCGAGCCCTGCATCAGGCTCTGGGCTGATGGCTCAGAGCCTGGAGCCTGTTTCCAATTCTGTGTCTCCCTCTCTCTCTGCCCCTCCCCCGTTCATGCTCTGTCTCTCTCTGTCCCAAAAATAAATAAACGTTGAAAAAAAAAAAGTAGACCTACTATATGATGTAGCAAATACCTACTTCTGGGTATATACCCAAAATAATTAAAATCAATATATTGATGAGCTATCTGCACTCCCCTATTCATGCAGCATTACTCACAGTAGCCAAGGTATGGAAATAACCTAAGTGTCCATTGACAGATAAATGTATAAAAAATGTCATATATATGTATTTGTATGAATATTATTCAGCCATAAAAAGAATGAAACCCTGCCATTTGCAACAACATAGATGAACTTGGATGAAATTATGCAAAGTGAAATAAGCCAGACACAAAAAGACAAATATTATATGATCTCTCTTATATGTGGAATCTAAAAATGTCATACTCACAGAAACAATAGAATGGTGGATTCTGGGGGCTAGATTGGAAATAGGAAGTGGAAAATAGGACCATGTTGGTCAAAAAGTACAAATATTTATTTAAGTAAGATGAAAAGTTCTGGAGATCTGTTTTACAACAATGTGAACTTACCTTAGTACTACTGAATTGTACACTTAAAACTAGCAACAATGGTAGTTTTATGGTATGTGTATTTTACCACAATAGCGAAAGACTAAAAATTATAACATTTGAGTTTCAAATCTAACAAAAAAAGCATTTTATAAAAATTTGTCAAAACAGCATGGTAGAAAACTATACATATTTTGTTTCTTGAAGTAGATATTAACTTTTAATACATGAGATAATTACTGAATACATGGGAATACAATGCATACCAGAGCAATTCCAGCAGCAAACTTTGGATTACATGCCATTCCATGATATGTTGCTCCCACATAATTAAGATGGTTCCTATAACTATAATAAATAATACATTTTCATATAATGAACTTTTTCTTCTGAATAAATGCATTTTAAATTATTACTGACTTAATGACTTTTAAGAATTAAATTTCTCAATAAAGCTTTGTTTAAAAAAATTTTTTTAATGTTTACTTATTTTTAAGAGAGAGAGAGAGAGACAGAGTCTGAGTGGAGGAGAGGCAGAGAGAAAGAGGGAGACACAGAATCTGAAGCAGGCTCCAGGCTTCAAGCAGGCTCCAGACTTCAGCACAGAGCCTGATGCAAGGCTCGAACTCACCCGTCATGAGATCATGACCTGAGCGGAAATCAGACACTTAACCTACTGAGCTACCCAGGTGTCCCTAAAGCTAT